GGACGATGGATGCGGCCAGAGGGACGAGGCCGAGTGCGCCGTGAGGATTTAGCCTTGGACGAAGCAATCCATGGGGCCGCGTAAAGGAGATTAAAGTCTATTCCCCCAGCTGGGCACTCAGGGAAAGTTAGCAGCCCCGAGAATTAAGGGATATATTTATTTTTAGGAGATATCTCCCCCCCCACACACAGCTTTTTCCTTCTCAGTGATAAATCACTGATGGCAATAAGCCGGCTTAAGGCGCTGCCACGAAACGACAAACCAAAACGCCTAGGTGAGAAATGTATTTTCCAGAGTGTTTGGAGGGGGGGGTTAACAAGCCTGTGGGTTCTAATCGAATTACAGCCCTGCAAAATAAATAAGTAACGTAAGCTGCTCGAACTCAGGTACGAGTGAAAATTGTGAATTTGTAGCCAGGAAAGTGGGCTGTAGGATGCTGTAATTGCTTCTGATATGATGAAGTTAAAGGGGTTGGGAAAAGCTGGGATATTAAATGTCAGAGCCCTACTTGTAGCCATGTGCTGTATGTCTATTTTCAGAAGTAGGGTGGGTTGGGTTTTTTTACTTTTTTTTTTTTTAATAACCCAGCATATAATTTGCAGCCTGGTAATGTGCTTGCATAACAAGACTGCATCAATTTAGCCTTCCTGTATTGAAAACACACTATGCTTTGACAATAAATCACAGCACCGGGTATTTAGGTGACAATCTCTCCTGCTTCAGCGTCCTCCTGTAAACACATTTCAGCCTGGATCAGCCCTCTTTTTGCACCAACAACAGTGAGAAGAATACTGTCCTTCGCCGTACGGCCAGGTCATGCTCTAAATAAAACATCAAAGCTGGAGACGTCCAGGGCTTGGATTGCCCTGTGGATTTTTAATCCAGAATACTTCTGCTGGTTTTCCTTAGGGAAACAGTGAAGAAAAGGAGGGCAGCTCGTCCAGGCTTCCTCTGGCTCTCTATGCTGGCTTCACACCATTAAAACGTCCCGTCGTTACCATCAGGCGTCCAGCCCTCATCCTGGCGCACTCTCTAACCGACAGAGCTTTGCCCTTTCTCACTCAGCCTTTTTCCGCCTACTTTGGCCTCAGTTTCCCCTCCCCGAAAGCAGACAAATGGCCATTTTGCTGTAGCATTTCTGGAGTTTTTCCTCTTGGCTGCGGGACTTCTCGCCTGCTGCGCTGCAGTGTTTTCCCGCAGCTTTCCATTGCCTGCGGCACCTCGCAGGCAGTGATGAAAGAGGGAAGGAACGCGAGGAATCCCGTTTTGTCTCTCCTTGTTTGCCCGCCGTCTGCTTTTTCACATTTCTCGCAGCTGGCGGGAGCAGGGGCGGTGGTTTCAGCCCGTTTCCCTTTATGGTCTTGCCCAGCTAACCCCGCGGCCAAGTATTCGGCTTGCAAAGAAAACCTGCGAAAGGACCTATTTGTTGCAAAGCAATGCTTTGGCCACCACTTTAAAAACAGTATTGCTGTGCCTGTTAACACATCCTTTAGTTTAAAAGCTGTGCCAGCCTGAATGCAACCAGCCTGTTCCTTGATTTGCAAGAGAACTAATATATTTTATGTGCTGCACAGACACAGCAATCACTGTCATAATCCCAGTAGCAAACTGGGCCAGCAGCGGGGTCCGGTTCAGCGCTGGCGCCGAAGATCAGCTGCCTTCGCTGGGAAAGCCCGGGGAAATTTTATCCACTGGCCGCACCCAGGCTGAAGAGCAGAAATATTTGCATTTGCTTCTCCTTGGAGAGGAGCCAGCCTGCCTCACAGGGCCCTCCCCACTCTCACCAGGCTGCCAAGAGGGATTGCTAAAAAAGATGGAGTTATTGCAGCAGCCAGGGGAAGGGCTGGGCCTGGCTGGTGTGTTTTGGAGGCTTAAGGAGGTCTTCACCTTTCTCTGCTCCAGCCAGACTTCAAGCTGGTTTTACGCCAGGGTGGTCTTGAGCAGAGCAGGAGCCTCATCTTGCTCCAGGAACACTATATTTTGTTATTTTTGCTGGCTGACCTGGGCATGTTGGTGCTGAGAAAGGACACGGCCCGGCTGCAGCCTTTTGCGGTGGCGTGTTGCTAAATTCCCAGGATGTGCCTTGCCCTCCTCCTTTCCCTTGCAGCGTCTCCTCCCCATTCAATGGCCCTCGCAATAAAAAACCTGCGGCCAGCCCAAAAATCACAGCAGTCCCCTCTGATAGCAGACTGTCCCAGCTCACTCTTCACTGCTGGGAAAGCGCATTAGGTTTGCAGAGGGGAAATGTAACTGGCCAAGCACCCATGGGTGCTGTGCAGCGCCCACATCTATCTATCTTTTTTTTTTTTTCCTCTTGTTTTCCCCCTCTTTTCTCAGGGAGGGGGTGATGTCCTTTCACGCAGCCTGGGTTTCCCCACATGGTGAGAGGTGGCTCGTGCTTTGGAAAGCAAGAGCCGACTTTAAGCAGGCGCTGCCGCAGGACTTTCCTGGCAGGGGACACGTCCCCAGCCAGCCGGACCCAGAGCAACCTGCTTAGGTGACCATCCCAGCTCTGGAAAAAAACCCACAAATCTTACATGAGCATTCCATTTATACCTAGTTTATAGTTAATACCCAATTGATGGCCATAGATGCACATTACGAACATGAATAATATGCTTTGTAGATGGGAAAAGATAGCAGGAAATAGTTTTAAGACCTGTGTGATTAATCAACTCACCCGCTGGACTCCGGTGCTATTCAATCGTACATTAACCCTCTCGTTTACAAATGCAGCACGCGCTGGATAGAAATTATATAGTAGGCTATAGAGCTTTGCTGCCTGCATTATCAGATCCCTTTCTTCATCACTGAAGCATTAGTTTCAGGTATTCTTGCTTGCTTCTGCTGCTCATTTCTGGTTTTGCAGGCACTTTCCATTAAAAAGAAAAACCCTATTTCTCTGGCTGTTTTGCTGTTTGCAAAACCCTTGCAAAACAAAAATGGGAAGCGCGCCTGGCGGAGAAGGTAAGCACCAGGCACGCTGGTTGCGTGGATGCTGGACGCGTGGGGACAAGGCAGTAGCCGAGGTCTGATTTCGCGCTCCTTTTTTTCTCTCTAAGTCATGTTGTGACTTGGAACGAAAGGGAAAAAAATAAAGCTGCCCGCAGCAGAGTGATGGTATCTGGGATAATAAAGCAGAAATTAGGCTGGCTGATGTCAGTCTCTTCTGTCGTTGGTATCAGCTCTGTGTCATACATAGAAGAAACTGAATTTCACTGGAGTTTGTCTGACCGAATTTGTGCTCTGGCTGCCCTCTGCCGGCTCCAGGGCTCATCTGAAATGATCCCAGATGATTTACAGCCTGTCAAATCCAGGCAAAAAAAAAAAAAAAAAGGCACAGCTACAATGTCCCCAATGCAGAAAGGAGAAAAAGATAATCCCACTCGCAGGGGCGAAAAAAACCCAGAACAGTGTTTCCAGGCTCTTACTCCTGGCTGTGACCACGGCACCCTGGTACCTTCTCCCAGCTGTGTCCTCCAGTGCTGCAAACCTCGGCGCAACCTTTTACATTGCACAGCCTTAAAACCGCACGCCCATGCGTGCGTTGCCCTCCTGCCAGCCCCAGAGTCAGCTGCGGTACAACTGTGAGCGACCTGGCCATCCTCTTGCTGCCCAGTGCACTAAGGGCACCCCCCCTCCTTTTTTTACTTGTATTTTATGAGTTTGGAATACAGGAAGCAGGTGGAGGAAATAAATGGGATTTTTAGCTCGGGGTTTTATTTAACTGCTCACCAACTAAATCGGTGGTTCTCAATGTCACTGCAGAGAGAAATCCAATGTTTAAATAAAACCCTGAGAAAGCATGAAAAGAAAGAAAAACACCCAACAAAACAACAGCAGCCTTGGAAAAAGGGTAAAAAAAAGCAAAGAAAACCTCAGCCCTTCCACCACTGCTGCGCTCCAGGGCTTTTTATATTTATAACGAGCGGGCGAATGGAGGGTAGAGCCTCGCCGAGACGCTACATCTGCACATCTCCACCTGGCCAGCCCCGGTGCAAAGGGCTCCTGCGCAGGAGGAAAGAATTTTGGTGATGAAAACGCCCGTTCTCCAGCTAGTTGCGGATGTGACGAGCTGACAGTTGGGAAGGGAAGCGGCTCCCTGGCCGCTTTTCCCACACGGTCCTGCCACCGCGGCACCAGCTCCTGGCTTCAGACAACTCATCCCGCTGGGCGATGTGGCAGGATTTGCAGAGCAGGCGGTTGCCCAGTGGGTAGCACCCATTCTCCGTCGGCTCTGGTGACAGCGGGATCCGACAGCGCTGCGGGGGGGAAGAGAAAAAGGGAGAACCGGGAGCTCCCAGGGAGCCGAGTGCAGCCCCGAGTCCCACTCCCGGGGACAAGGATGGATTTGGGACAGTCTCCTGCTGGAGCGCTTATAGGTGCAGGGCCAAGAGCAATCTGTGCTGCCGGCTCAGCCAGCAACTGCACCCTCGTTGTGATAGGCATCGCCCCAATCAGCACCGGTTGCAGCGGAGGGGAATAAATTACGGCAGAGCCATGCTGAGGGATTTCGGGGACAATCCCATTTCGGGGACAACCCCAGCCTGGTTTCGCTCATGCCACCGCGCTGCACCACGCCATACCTCGCAGCGGTAGCAGCTCTCGTGGAAGCTGCGCCCCAAGCACTCGATCTTGTAGGTGTCTTTGTCCTCGCGGGGGACAATAGGCTGCCGACAGACGCTGCAGACGGAGGCGTATCTCCTGCTGGGAAAAAGTGGGCGCTCAGCCAGCAGTGCGCCGGGTGGACCCTGCTGCCGGGGACATCCTCGGGGACCCACCGCGGGCGCCCACCTGTAGAAGTCATCCACGCAATACACCTCGTCCCGCTCGCCTGCCGCGAAGCTCTCGTCGCCCAGCACCCGGCCACAGGCAGCGCAGGCAAAGCAGCCCGGGTGGTAGCCCTTGCCCAGGGCGCGCACAATGTGCTCGAGGATGGGCACCTGGCACTTGGCACACTTCTCCAGTGTGGCCTGGGGGCAAAACACATGATGACGACGCTCCCAGTCGTCCTTCCCCTCTTTTCCGAGACGTCACGCAGCCAAAACCCCGTGCAATGCATCACTTGTTTTTTTTCCCCGCCAGTGGTTTTCCAGGTGCAAACGCACCCGCTGCAAAAATTCCCAGCGTGGAAACACTGCAAAAATTCATGCCAGGGAAAAATTGATCTTGCAAGGCGGATGAACCAGAGCCAGCTGGATTTATAGCCATTTGCAAAGCTGCATTTGCACAGAGCCGCTGAGTGTTTCCACTCCCATCTCCCACTAGGCCGGGGGAGCCCTCGAGGCCGGGTACCTTGTAGCAGGCATCGCAGATGGGGCGCCCGTCTTTTTGGTAGTAGCGCTGGCCGGCCAGGAGCTGGTGGCACGTCCTGCAGGTGAAGCAGTCTGCGTGGTACTGCTTCCCCATCGCCTCGACAGTCGGGTCCCTGGGGCCTACGGCTTTGTGGCAGAAGGCGCAGACGTCTGGGAGGATGGAGAAGGGGCGTCTCAGACCTCCGGGCAGCTCTTTTCCCCCCATGAAGCAGGACACAGAGCTAGGAAAGCTCACTTTGCTTCCATCCCCGGCTTCTCACATTGCAAGAGAGCAGTGCGACTCTGCATAACCTGCAGTGCCACGTGCCTCAGTTTACCCATCTTACCACTGGAAAAGTCCCTTTCCGGATGCCCGTTCACGTCGTGACACAGCGGTGGCCCCTCGCCGGCTCGCTCCAGGCAGGTTGGCCGCAGTTCAGGCTGCCTCAGTTCTCAGGGAAGGTGGAGGCTGCCTGTTGGGGGGGCAAAAACACGTTAAACCATGCCCGGGCATCGGGCCCATGCAGCAGGCACAGGGCACCCCTAGAACCTCCCATCTCCCCCGCCAACCCAACCTGGAGGGCGGCTGGTGCAGCGACGTTCAGCTGCTGCAGGGCTGGGGCCAGCATCTCTGCACACAGCGGCTGGGGGGCCTTGGAGAGGAGGAGGAACGGCAGTGACGAAGGCTGCTGGACTGCCGGATCGGGGCCGGAGGAACCTGGAACAACAGGCAGAAACGCCGAATGGCAAAGCCGGGAGCAGCCTGGCATGGCGATAACCCCCCCAGGAGGCAGCAGTGCTCGCGGACCTGCCCAGAAAACAAACACTGTTTGGGCTGGAGGAGAGCAAACAGCGCTGATAAGGCGCCGGAGACAGCCGGCAAATGCGGCTCTTCCTTAGGGAAGCTCTCAGAGGGCAGGAATTTGGGAAAAGCCTGGGAGCAACCACACTTCTCCCAGTGCCTCCAGAAACCAGCTGGCGCTAGGCACCCAGCACAGTGTCTCTCCCCGAGCATCCCCAGGACGGGAAAATGCAGCCGCTTTTTCCCACGGTCCCTGGGCGCTGCGCTCCTGCTGCCATTGGGCTCCGTTTCGGCCCTCACCTCCGTTGGGCAAGCCTGGGGCGCGTGGGGCCGGTCGGCCGGCAGCTGGCACATCGCCCTCCGGGGGTGTCCGGGGCTGGTGGGCACCCAGAGATTTTGGAGCCTCAGAGGGAGCCGGGGGCAGCTGGGGCTGCATTTGCTCTGCGCTGGCCGGCTCCCTCCGCGGGGGCACCAGGGTGATGTAGACAGATGAAGCGATTCGCTTCTCTGCTTTTCCCGGCAGCATCTTCAGAGAGAGGATGGGGGAGACACCTGGGGAAACAGAGGAAAAATGAGTGAAATCCTCCCCAAACCTCCTCCGGCCTTGCTGCAGGCTGCTCATCCGCCTCCTGGCACTGCTGCCCATTGGCCTCGACCCTCCCCATGCTTCTCTCCACTCGCTTCTCCTCCACCGGCGCCATCCTTCCTGGAAAAGGAGAAGGAAGAAGCGACCTGAACCACGTCATGCTGGTGCTGATAACCCGGCTCATGCCCGGGGCTGCTGAGAGCCAGATGGGAAGCTGCTGCCGGTGGGGCAAAAGACGCCGGCAGCCCCAATAGCAGCCAGCCCCCCACCCCAGCGCCGCTCCTCAGCT